AAATCTTCAGTTTTTAACCAGTTGGAAAATGATGTTGTGCCTTTGGTACTTTTTGCTTACTTCACTGAATTGATTACAGGAAATGGATGGAGTTAGGGTTAAGGGGGGCGGCTCTTAACCCTTTGGGTCCGATATTGTTAATGCTGTCGCAAGCTTCCAGTTCAGTAGGGCGCAAAGCGCACATTCTCTTCGTATTTAATCATTTAACGCCTCATTAATTCATCACTTTCAATCAAATTTTACGCTCATATACATTTTTCCATAGCCGTAAACGCAGGCAGGTGGTGCGGCGTATCTGTGTGTGAATTTTCCTCGTCACGGCGGTTTTTGTGTGGATGGTTGTAAGTGCGACCAGGAATCGCTTCGTTGGCCACAGTAACCCGTGATTAAGTTGGTTTTTCCAGCCCAACCGCTGCCCTCGCGGTTTTTCGCGGCGTTAAGCTTATTGAGTTTTCCCTTAATTCTTCAACTTTTGCAGCATTAAATTTAACTTTGGTCCCCATACCAAAAACAAAAAAAACCTTGCATACTTGGGGGCGCACTTCCTTTGGAAGTGCATAACATTGGGTTCTCACGTTTATTTTCCACGTGACAACATGGCCAAGAAGTGGTTTACATAAGCAAAAAGAAGTACGCATCTGAAAAGTTTGCAAATTTCGCGGAATTTTTGTGCAATTCACGATGGTATATTGGTGTTTTTCCTAAGGAAATATACCTATTTGTACTTGGCTAAAAGGATTTCCTGCCCAAAAGTGCAAAAAAAAAACACACAAAAATCGAACGTTTGCCATTCGTTATTTGCGGATTCTGCCAACTCAGCCAACACATTTCACTAGCTGCCTTCTGCTGTTTTAAAAATAACTCCTTGTTTTGTGGAATTCCATGGAAATCATGCACATCGGGAAATGTAAAAATATTGATGTTTTCAGTGCTAATTTTAACTGATACTCCGCGGCCGGCCATCGAGTGGGAAAATTAGCCCAGCCACCCCCTTTAGTTAGGGATCCGCAGAGGATACTATATATATGTCTGTACCTATGTGAGCTGTAGATATTTTTGCGTGTATTTGTGTGGGTAGCGCTGCCCCTTGGCCCCTGGCCCCTGGCCGTGGTTATAAAAATAAGTGAACATTTATTTAAAAATCATCGCACTTCCAATTCCAATGCAGCAGCCACGCCGAACAGGCAGCCCCACGAAAACAGATGCTCAGAATTTCCTTTCTTTTAGTCGAAGGAGATCGCCGGTCAAAGCAACAACACAGCACAGAACTGAAAAAGAGCCGAAAATCACTGAAAATCACTGAGGAACAACACTGAACAGAAGTCGAAGGCGACCAAAATACTTGTACAATAACAAAGCGAATCAGGCCCAAAAATAATACAATTCTAAAATATATCTCTCAGTGTGCGGCGCTGACTGTTGCTGTGTGTGTGGCATTTCGATTTATTTCAGAACGATCGGTCGGAATGAAGAGTTAAGAGCTTTATTAGCAGTCCATTCGGGCGGTCGAACGCGCGCGCCTTTTAGATTGTTTCGTGGATATCGGATATTCGATAAATAAAGCCGGTTCGGTTTAAAATTATTAAAAATTTAAAAAATTTTAAAAATCGATTAATGCGATTAGTGATATTTTTGAAGACTGAGGTGTTGTTGTGATACATTATGGATCTTTTTCTATCGATATCATTATAAACGCAACCATTCCAAATGAGTGTTTACATAATTGCAGAACCTTTTTGTAACTGAAACAAATAAAATATCTAAATGAGACTAACATTTCAATGTTCTTGGTAATCATTTTCTAATAAACTTAACCAGTTCTACCAAGTCTTTGCCCTTGTTCAGGGAAATTTACCAAACCGAAGCTAAAGCTACAACATTTAACCGCTTTGCTCGCTTGTTGAATACATAATTGGCCGCTTAATACGATTTGGCCATAATCTGATTAGCTTCTTCTTGGCAAAACATAAAAAGGCAAACACAGTGCCTCCTGCCTCAAAGAGCCGCCACAATCCTGGGAAAGAAATCCTTTGTACACACACTCCCACAAAGGAATCGCACACGAACACACAGCCGCAGTACTCAATCACTTCCATGAAAACGCCATTAAAACGCTTGGAGAGCGCTTTGGCGACGCTTAACTCGAAAGCTCATCAAAAAGAGATTCTGCAGGGGATTTCGAATGGGGGGAATCCCCCTGAGAGGACGGGGCTTTAGCGCTAGTCAAAAGATGATTTCCGCGCCTTGTTGGCGGCATTATTATCTTATTTCGGGTTACCTCTAATTTTAAAATGGCTCAAACGCAAACAAACAAACAAACGCAAGATGAACCGAACTGAACCGTACAGAACTGAACAGAACAAAACGGATCCGAGCAAAACGAAACGGAAAAGTAGCAGAAGAAACAAAAAGCGTTTTTTATAGAACATTTATTTATAATTATACATTCTCGGTGTATATGCGATTTTCTGCGCCAGTAAAGTGAAGTGTAGGAAATATACACACGTCTATACCTCCTCGCACATATAGATTCTTGTACAATATTTTCATTTCCAATCCTCAATCCGAATCAATCGGCTCGGCTCGCTGGTGTCGCGTCCTTAAAACGTATCGTTATTATTCCACAATCGAAATAATCGAAACAATCGTAATCGATCAACGGCAAGTGTGAGTGATGCGGTGTTAATTAAACACAGGCAAAGGCGGATAATTTCATCCAGCAAAGTGCAATTCTTCTGTCATAAGTCGTGAAATTTCCCAAAATAAAGTGAAAACATCTGTTTGAGAAGAAATGAAAAGAGAAATAAATAAAGAATCGGGAGAATTCAAAATGTTGCAAGAAGCCAGCAACATGTTGCAAACAAGTGATGTGTACGTTCGCCGCCAGATGTCGTACTTGAATATTCAGTCCGACAGATGGCGGCAGTCCCTCGATCGGCTGCAGCTTAACCCAGTGTTCCATAGATGGCGCCAGCAGTGCCACATACAATTGTAAGCAAATGAAAATCAAAACATTGTAAATTCTTTTACAAACTTAAAAAAAGTTGAAGAATGGAAAATTCCCTGACGTTTTCCCGCAAAAGCAGCTTAGTATGAAAAGCTTACCATACAATACCTCTAGGCTGCGCTGGTACTAAGAAAACAAAGCAAAGGAACTTGGGATGGGGTCGGATTTGGGGACTGGAGGCTGAGACCTGTCAATCACTTCAAAAGGCGAGAGGAGAGCTCTTGAACCATTTCCGTTTCCGCTGGGAAATTTAATATGCCTTCTAGTGTGAGCGCCTACTCCACACTCCCCTCCATAATTCTACTTACCCGCTCCTGACACTCCGTTCTATATGGTTCTAAATCTAAAAATATTTATTTTGCCCCCTTTTTTTTGCCAGTTTGTTTGCAACTCTTTTTGCCTTGTGTAAACTTTAATGCGATACAAATTAAGTTATTCTGCTTTCTGAGCACCCTAATTATCATCATTAGTCATGAAGAGGTCCTTTGGGAATAATTATTAAGTCCTGATGAACAAGAACCTCCATCTTAATTTAAAACATTTTTTTGAACAAAAGTTTTAAAATGTTCTAAAGTTTTTAGCTCTAAAACTAAAAAAAAAAATTAAGAAAATTAATTTCATTTCGTAAATATTTCCATGGTGTTTCTTGAAAGACTTCTTCTAAGATTTCTAAGAGTATTCACCTCACGGATTCCCCAAAAAATGATTATATGTTGTTTGCTTTTTCGTTATGTTGTTTTTAAATTGCAAAAAGTTGTTTATTTACGCAAATTTCTGTAGACTTTGGCCGACAGCCAACAATTTCAAATGCTCAAAATTGAAAAACTGAAAATGGCACGAAAAAGCCAGCCTCGTTGGCCATTTTACTTAAAAAAAAAACAATAATTATGAGCATTGCAGTTTCAACTGATTAGAAATTATGAGTCATACATTTGCAATAGTTTTTTAAAACAAACCGAAATCGTGTGTATTCGAGAAGAATCATAACGAATATTTCGACTTTTTGACACAGCAAGAGGGATTTTCAAAGTATGGAAAATATACGTACAAGAATATAGACGATGTTGTGGGCGTCGGGGAATGTTAAAGGTATAGAAGATATATGTCATCAATAGGGAAAGAGAAGAGAGAGGAGGTGCCGAGAGGGATAGGACGAGGTGGGAAATGTGGAAAAATATTGAGGGTAAAATTTATGAGAGACAACTGCCAGCTGAATCTGTTTGATGTTTACTTTTTTTTTGTATCTGGGCAATGAAGACTTGCCAATACCCTAGAAACGAAAGGATTGTATGAGGAATTTGAAATTCTGACAACGTTCACTTAATAAATGAGGCTCCATTGATTTGTTTTTTTGAAGTTTTCATTTTTATGTAGTAGCCACAGGAGGTGGCAGTCAAAGGCAACCATAGGTGGCGATTTCATTGGAAAATGCCATGGCAACGCAACAAAGGCAGCACCACAAACACACAAACTTTACTCTCGGGAAACCCATGATATACAGAAAGCTGATCAAGTCTATGGCAACCTGGGAGGATGGGGGCATGTGGATGTGGAGGAGCTGCCTCCGATTGTCTGCTGCTGGGGATGTGAATGTGGCTGTGGGGGTGTAGATGTGGATGTGGCTGTTGCCGATGTCGCTGAAGCATTTCATTAGCCTCCCACGCATTCCGACACTCACAACCCAGCGAAGCAGCCCACAGATACAGATACAGATACGCATACAGATACAGATACTGCCGCACAGATACTCCGTCTTTGTGTGGGCGATTGTTGAGCACAGCACGCGCGCATTTCCCTCAACACAAGAGAATCCTGCAAGTGACTATCTGCCATCCCAAATGCCAGCCCCCTTGACCCCCTAAAAGCACCCCGACTTGTTGCATTTTGTATAGGCTCGCCACAGCGGGGGATTCACATTTGCGTACATTTCACCTGAATGCGATATGAAAGGCACTTGTGCAATGATTAATATCTCTCCTCATTTTACTTACAGTTATACAACCAAACTCAGGTGGAAGCGGCAGCGTCAACATCGATGTCAATTCCCGTAAACTGCATACAATAAACCAATGTACAAATTCATAATATAGGCGAACCGCGCAGGTTCTCTAGAACTATTCACGGATTACCACAGAATGGCCGTTGAGCATTGGCCATAGATCTTTTTTTGGAGAGAACAACTGCTGGGACAGTTGGCTCCCGGAACAGTACCAGGTAAGGATATCTTTAGGAAATTGTAATATTGTCAATTAAAGGTATAATCCTATGTCTTTATATTGATTTTGATTATCTTATTACGTTTTTTGGAGGTACACAGCAGTTGTATTCGGATCTCCTTTAGAATAAGAAAGATCAAAGATTAGTGTTCATCATATAGATGTTTCTGATAGAGTCGAAGTTTAGGTACATCTATGTATAAACTTTCTAAGTAAACCTAAAATGTATATCAGTTTTCCTATTTTTCCGACTTATTAGTTTTTTTGTATAACTATAAAAACCCATAGTTGCGTTAGCTGTTATAAAATCTTAATGGTAGTGATTGTATTTTGTATGGTATTTTTCCTATGGCATTGATTGGATATTGTGTTTCAGACAAGTTAGAACTAGTAGTTTTTGGTGCTAAATACAATGTTGTATTCAATTCGGACCAGCTTTCTTGGCTCTCGAGTGGATTCCTAGGCAGTCTGCGACTACGAATACCAGATCGAACAAGACCTACAACAACAGCTGCGTATGCGTGATGGGCACCAACACAGGCACAATGCCGAGTATCCCAATACCAAGCTCGTTGGGCTTTCAATTAACGTGAAACATTTTTGCCAAGAATGTTTCTTTCCCTTTTTGCCATGGAAACCCGCTGCCGGGGGGGAATTCTAAAGAATACCAAAGCATTGAGTTACATAGTTCCGTGCAGATATTGATGGTTTTGAATTGCAGAGCTGTAAGGACCAACAGCATTTGCAGGTAATTAAATCTCAGAAGAGCTTCCTCTGTGTGTCACAAATTTTTCCTTTGGCATCATCACATCGAACGTCATTGAATTATGCGCTGTTTTCCTCTCGCTCTTTTTTTCTTATATTATATATTCAGGGGATCATCAAGTATTCAAGCACGCGTCTCCCAAATGTATACACATCAGCCTGTGTGTATATATATGTTTTTTATGTACATATGATGAGGATGGGGGCCCGGAAAATTCACCTGAAGATGAAATTTGTTTTGCTCGCCCTGCGTTTTGTTCCTTTTTGTTTACGCTCGATAATTGCACTCGACGACCGCAATAAAGGGAAATTAAAGTTTCCCTTTGCCGGGGGCCCACTCCAACCCCCATTTTCCGACCCCCTTTGACATTTGTGCAGTTTTGGCTTGACGTCGTCGTCTTCGTTCTCTGTCATTTCATTTGCAGCTTTAAGTATTTTGGACCCGGGCCAAAATGTTTTTCATGTCTTGTTGTCGCCATGCCACAGACACACACACTCACATACTCACAAAATCACCGGCAGCAGGCGAGAGGGACAGTTAGTGATTAAGCGTGAAAATATCAGATCCATCCCATCCATGGGGTACAGCAACCGCAGCAGCAACAACGACAGAAAAGCCAAAAGAAAAAAAAAGAAGGAAAAACAAGAAAAGCTGGCAAAAATTTCTAGTTTTCTGCAACATTTTCTGCGACTCTTGGTCTCTTGTTTTCTTATTTTTTTCGGTTGGTCTTTTGGTTTTTGGCAAGTGCTGCATGCAAATTAAAATTGTTTCAGCGTAGATAAAATGTAATGCTGAGAGGAGTGAGCCAAAATAAATGAATTTAATTTAATTTGAAAGATCCAATTCAATTGCGAGGAAATTGAGATTGTTTCGGTTTAGAAAAATGGAATGTTTGGAAGTGGGCATCGTTGCTTTGAGGTAGCATTTTGACCATTCCAAATGTTGTTTGGTAAATTTAAGAAAAGTAGATAGGGACAGTAGCATTCAATTAAAAACCACAACGTTTTTGATGCAATTGTGCTAGTTTTACTTTTTTTGCTTAAATAAAAGAAAGTAGATAGGGACAGTAGTATCCGATTGAAAGGCAACACATTCGTGAAACATAAAATGTTGGTTCATGAGGAGTCAACTAATTTAACAGTCAATTTATTTGTATATTAGTTCTTTTGACTAAATAAAATGTTTAATCGACAGACTATTAACATTTTCTCCTGTCTTTTTAATAAAGTAGATAGTTAAAGCTAGTTTGCTTTGAAGAACATTAGTTAACACATTTTATCATGGTTTGCATGAAAGGGAGATGTCACAGTATTAGTTACTTAATAAACATGAAATTTAGTTATATCAGTTCTGCAAAACATTATCTTAAAAGAATTTAAGCAATAGCCAGTCTCTTCTGCACTTAACAATCTTTCAAATACCTAAGAATGCTATAGAAAACAAAGGAATTGTAGAATTCTACAGCAGGTCATCCATTCAATTTGTTTTTCTTTACCAATATCGCATAGCTCCGGATCATATATCGATCTGAGGCGCACACATGTGCTTTTCACCGTCGGGATTATCCAGTGAGCCAGCTAAGAAATACGAGCAAAGGGGCCAATACAACGATATATCCTATCCCCAACGAAAAGAAGATATATACACAGATATTTGTTTATACGGAATGTCCGTATAACAAACACTGGCATCCTCTCGCTCGTTCCTTTCCTCTCCCATTGTATTTGTATCTGCATCTGTATCTCAGTCTGTATCTGTATCTGTATGCCTCCATATGTGTATCTGCAGCTGCGCAATTGGCGACGACAGACATCAGACGCTGTTAGCTGACATGGACAGCAACTGGTAGAGCGGACAATATAGGATATATAGATGTAGAGGAGGAGGGCAGCATACCACATGTGTCTTCTTTTTGCAGTTACACATCGCGGCGCTTTCGTAACGCATTTTGGCAGCACCTGTCTTCCCCACCCTCCCTCTCTCTCTCTGGTTCTCCCTTTCTTTCCCACAGCAGCAGCCATTGCAAAATCTTGTGTAGAAAGATTGAAAAATTTCGAAAGAGAATTGCTGAAGAAAACTGAAATTCAATCAGCGAACCCATACCAACGTAGCTTTGGCAGGGGCCCGAGTGTAAGTGTGGGGAAGAAAGGTGTGGGGAAGACGACTCACACTGTGTGCACAGGAGAGAGGAGGACCAAAGCAGCGCAGCGTAATGTGAGCACTCACACCAGCGCAGATCGTAGAGAGAGGTGTGTGTAGAATGGGTGGAAAAGGGGAGAAGACTGGTGATCGAGGCGAGCACTTTGTCTATATTTAGCCCGAAATGCAAATGGCGTCAGAAGAAGCACACACACACACATATATACAAAGACATGAGAGAGGTGGGTTCCGCTGAGGTGAGTTAACGGTTTTTTGCGCATGCGCATGCGCTTTTTCCCCAGAGATCGCCATTTTGAATATCACCGATCGCGATACAGAAAAACGAAAACACGGGAAAATCAAAATCAGCCAGAGAAGAGAAAAAATTAAACTGAAAATCTCTATAGATTTTTCATCGTTGGCCATAACTAAATTTAAGATTTTGTTTTGGTTTTCGTTTTAAATTTAACTTGTGAATGAACTGGCCAGCCGATCAGAGACAGCACAAACAACAGGTCGCCACCCCCTTTTGAGACCCCCAGATATTATCAATTTTCTGCAAGCGCCAAGTAAACAATCGATTCGAGCTGAAAATGTTATTGGCCCGAGTTTTATTTTTACAAACGGTGCGCGGGCACGTGCCACAGCTAAAATCGTACAACGAACAGATAGATATAGCTAAATAGTCAGCCGCAATCGTAGATGCGGTTATAGATATAGCCAGCCGCAGTTGGATATAGTTTTCTGCGTTTGCATCATCATCATCATGGGTCTGTCCGTTCGTCTGGTAGTTCCCATGTTTATACGGATTTCGGATTTTATGTTTGCTTTTGTTATTTGTTTCTATATTTTCCCTAATGCTCGGTTGTTTTTGCATTAACGCTCGACTCGGGTGGGTGGTCCAGAGATGCAGACAGATGATCTGCCCACCCAATCGAAAAACGGAGGCCCGACTAGTCTGCAGATTTGTTTTGATTGCGTCTTTTTTGGAACACATTTTTTTATATTATTTGAAAATTTCAATATTGAATAAGTACTTCCAGCTGTAGAAATCTACGGCTGTTAAATATTTTCTTTATTATTTATAATAAGTTATACCCTCTAGCTCCTAGTTGCGAAAATCCTAAATTTCCATAGTCCTATGGATCTCTAAGGCATCTCCTATCTATATTTAGTTTACCCCGCCTCCCAACCAATTGTTTTTCTATTCCATTTGCTCCGGGTCTCAGCTGTGTAACCCCAAACCGAAAATGACAAACAGAATTATTGAAAAATTATGATTTCTTGGGCATGTCCCCAAGGGCGTGACGAAGAACGAGGGGTATATGCATGCCAAGGTGGGCTGGAGGGGGTGCGACCATGGCCAAAGGATTGTCTGTACTTCTCGGTGCCCAGTTGCCGAATGCATTCCTCCCTGCCGAGTGGATCTGTAGACTGTAGAGCCGTATTTGTACCTTCAGCCGCACGATCCGATCGCCGCTGAAGAAAAAGCCACGTAGGGCACGCAGCCAGAGATTTGCCATGGATTTACCCCTCGGCTTTAGTTCTTCTCGGATATATCTGCCCCGCTCAGTTTACTAATTGCTTCCGCTTGCCGATGCTACGAGTGCTACGGGTGCTACGACTGCACGAGGTTTTCAGGGGTCTAGAGACTCATTTTAATTGCATTTCTTTTAACGGTAACATCAGTGGCAGCAGTTTGGGCCCCCCCCCCATCCATTCCCATTCCCTCTTGGCTGCCTGTCAGTCTGGGCGACGGTCTGACGGTCGGATGGTCGGGTAGTCTGATATTCTGATGCCCTGCCACGTCAATAACATTTGCGTACGGCAAAGACGCGTGTCGGTGAACTAATTCGTGTATGTGTGTTGGTCCAGGGGTGTGGGTGAGGAGGGGGTCTTACCGATTCTGAGGTCCCTGGATCCCCTTCTCGATTTTTCTCATTAAAAAAATCATGTTTCCTTACCGAACGGAAAGCCCTTTTGAGCTACGCCTCTGCCCTGGCTTTGTTGTAGTTTCGGGTACCCAATAAGTAAAAAAAAATCAAAGGAAACATTGCGAGTACTTGCACAAACATATAGACACATGTACATTGTGCGTACTCACATAAAATACACTTCAATTAAATTTTTTTTAAATATATATTTAAAAAAAAATTTTGTTTTTTTAATTTTTAATGTTTTTTTTAAGCAAAGTTATGTTTAAAAATGTTGTTTTAAGATTCTATTTACAAAGTAAATATTTTTTATTCTTAATCAAATATTTTCACCATGTAGTTTTATAAATATTTTATTTGTGTATTTGTTTTCATTGAAAACAAATAATTTTCAAGTTCAAACCATAGAGCACTTCCAATCGGGTAATTTATTTTTTAGAATTTCTTGGCCCCGGCTTTTTCTCAAAGTGTACAGAAAACCATAAGATGTTTCTACATCGATGCGCCTTATGGCCGCTGCTGCCGCTTCGGTTGGCTTTAGGTGAGAAAGACAACAATAAAATGTGGCTGCAGACTCCTGCACAGAAACAGACATAGAAACAGAAAGAAACGCACACTGGGCTCAAGTGGCCGGGTTCCTCCATTCCGATGCCCAGACATTCTCGGCCAGAGAATCCGCACTCGAATAGAATGTTATGCTAGATATGCCATTTGACTTCTGGCTCGGCAACGGCGATGGCGATGGCAACCAGGAAACGGCATTGCCATCGAAATCAGCAGCCAAAGGATGCGGCCACTTGAGACCGGGCATGGTATCGGTAATCCATTCCATCCAGCTCGGGGAAATGAGCCTCATTTGGTTCGGGATTTCCTCCAAAGTCATTTATGCAACAAACATCTGACAATCTTCTAGAGCCGCGTCGGGGGAGAAGAAACAGCTGCGAACGAGGTCCTTAAACTTCTTTATTCAAAATAATTTACATAATTTACGTTGAAAGATTCAAAATGGTTAATAAGAAATTATAAAATTGTAATTTACTTGATAAACTTTTTGTTAACTTTAATTTCTTTCTGAAGTTAATATTATTATATTTTAAATTAGGGTTGGTAGGCCCATTTTTTAAAATTTAGAACCTATATATGGTTCTGCACAGGGATCTACAAATCCATTTTATTAAGTAAATTTTTTTGTTAATATTAAGAGACTAGAGTATATTGGGATTCCAATAAATCTGTTTTGTAACATTTATTTTGTTAATTGACCAATTTTCTCTCATTCAAGAAAAGGGGTGGTTTAAAGGCTTCAATCAAAAATGTATGAATTAAATATTGATATACAAAAACGTGATTATTATATGTACAAGGTTTTGATTGAAGTGAATATAGCTTGATGAGTGATTATTACACTACACCCTTAATATTATAAAGTTGGGGCTCTTTGTTACTGGAGTCTCCTCTTTCTAGGAGGGTTGTTTATGGTGTTGGGAGCGCCCCATATATCACCACCCAAGCTCACCCAGCATCGCGGCAAAACTCGCTGTGTCACTTGTTGAGTCTTCGGATGGCTCATCTGTTCCGCCACCCCTTTTCCGACCCATTCCCCAGAATTGTGCGGTTCTACTGGGGCCTTCGGCTTTGTCTGTGGCTTCGGCGAATGTCGCTTTGCATCAGCTTACAAGATTTATGGTATCCTTTCAACTTTAAACCCGCTCTGCTCACTTGTCGTCTGTTCTCTGTTCTGTGCAACTCTTTCTTTGAGTCTTGTTAGTTGTTTTTGGCAGGGGGCATGCCGCACATGTGCGGACCCCGACTTTGCCACCGATTTCTTCGGGGGGTTTCTCTTTTCTGGGGGGGCGCAAAAACAATGCGATGCAGGAGGTCAACGTGGAACGCGTGTGCATTGAACTGAGCGTCATAAATCGCTAGAGGGGCGGGTCTTACCAGTAGCCTCCTCCAGGACTTTCTCACTTTTCCCCACTTCTAATTTCCATTTCCATCTCTTCCGCCTCTTTGCAGCGTAATCTTTTGTACCTGTTGTGTCGGCAAACTGCTGAAGGCAAGCTTCCCAAAGGTGAGTCCTTAGAACCTGTTTTGTTTTTCGGCTTGTTTTACCTTCTTATGAAGCACGTGCCACGTATTACCAAGCTGGCTAACACACACATGTTGGCCTGTATGTGTGTGCACAAGGCAAATATTTACACTCAATGGAACATAATAAAGACATTAGGGAAATATTGTGTTATGTGGGGGCATAACTTGGGTTCTGTGGGTGGAAACTGTATGAAACTTATCAGCCCACCCTCTGCTTTTCCTTTTTCCTTTCTCCCACTTTTCCTCTCCCGCTGTGTGTGAGTGTGTTTGTGTGCGGGACACTTTTCTTTATTGCTCTGCGAGTTGTCAATTTCCGTGTGTCTGCCTGTCTGCTTTCCCACCAGTTCTTTTCCCCCAGCCAGGATGCTTGATATTGTTTTCCACAATGAAAAAAAAGGAAGGTAGTTTGCTTGTCTAGTGTTTACATTAGACTGCACATTAAACAACACACGCTGGATTTTTATTCGTTGCGGAAAATGCGCACAGGCAACAAGTTCCCTTCTTTAAGATCAGTAAAATCTCAGAATCACAACAAACAGTATTTCGTAATCATTTTTTAAACAACAATTTTGTTTGGCATTCTGAAAAGGGTATGTCTAGTGCAGGAAATAATAAAACTTATCTTAAACTTCAGTTGCTGTTTCTTCTATGAAATTTGATTAATTTTCTACACAGAGAGAATTCTGACGTTCTAATCTGAGTTCAGAATGTTCTTAAAAAGTGCTTGAATTAAGATGAATTGGTGGTATCTACATTACATTGTATTGTTAAGTAAACTCAATTAAACTTTTCTCTTCTCACCATTTCGTTACTTACACGGTTTTCAAGAACGAATGTTCTCAAATCAAGAACAATGTACTTGAATATTTCTCTCTGCGTAGCTTTTATATAATCATTTCGCCTTCTAAGGATCAGCAAAAATCATTTAAGTTCCAGGTGCAAGACTTTTAATTGCATGACACTCTATTTATAGCCTACTTTCCGTCGAAAAGGGGTAATATCAAGCTGAAATGATAACTAAACCACTTTCCATTGCCAAGTTTTAAAGCAGTCGAGGCCAACAGCTCACTCCCACGCAAAGTTTTCGTCTTAGTTTTCCGCAGTACATTAATGTTTTAGTGTGTTGTCGAGTTTGCTCCACTGTCAGCTGGGATATGCATAAATAACATTGATTGATAAGCCACCCACACAGAGTGTTTGCCAGCTATGGCGAATGATTTCGAAATGATTACCCAACTCAATGTCGCTCTCCGAATTATATGCTAAATATACATACACTAAAGCGATACACTTTATGAGGCCGTCAATGGACCAAGTTATGAATGAAATGCAAACTCAATTAGCTCACCTTGAATGCTTGCCATCCGTTTCAATTATAAACCTTTTTGCAGCTCGTCCTTGCCCCAAAAAATAGAAAAGAGTTTTTGCATAAAAAATATATATATATATTATGCTCCACACTTTAGCCCCAAACCCAAACCGACTTGAAAGGAAAAGTGTGAAAAAATACAGAAACTGTTTTTGGTAACAAGGGAAAATGGTTGACAGTGACAGTTTTGCGGGCAGTTGGAAAGTTTTTCGTATTTGTTGGGCAATGCTAATTGCAAGTCGGGATGACAGTCGAAGCCAATTAGAGGCAGTTTCCTAAGCCAGGTGAAAAGGGAAGGTAAGGTTAGGTTAGGTATCGCACTGGCTTCATGCCTGTGAACTGAACTTATCAGTCATGCAAACAGAGAAATGCTTTCACCGAATCCCTGAATTCCTCGCCCCGCGAATGACACACGTGTTAAGGTGGAATTATTCAGGCTGACAGGACGAAACTGAAGCCGAGGAAGCTGCTCTGCGTGGGCGTTTGGCATTGGGGAAAATTGATTAGATTAGGCCAAAAAGGAACACGGCAGAGAAGGGCTGTTGTTCCCTGTTTGGAGAGTCCATAAGCTGGCATTTAATCACATTTAAATTTCAGTGCCCGGGGAAATTGATTGAGATTTTTATGAATTACTCAGCAAGTCGGGGCTTCGAGTAGCACAATTGAAATGTAATTAGGCAATGCTAATGGCGACACCTACCCCTCTCTATCTATCTTATTTGGCCGGAAGAGACCATCCCCTCCGGAGTCGAAATTACTTGAGCTTAACTTCCTTTTCTTGTGTTTTTCGGGTAGGGACCGGCATTTGCATAATTGATACCACCGCAGACATTTTTCAATTTTGGAAATCTCGGAAAGAAATTAAAAAGATGTTTTCCCTGTAAGTCCGTATGCTTACAACCCTCTGGTTACCCTCTGGCATTCTTCTTCGTATCTGCAAGATACGCTGGAAGGGCAATTTGAATGAGATTTATGAAATTACCTACGCAGCGCTTACAAAAACATCAGAGGAGGGCAGTGGAGTGGCGTTTCACGTGGTCCCTTGGCTTGGGGTATGTACGTATGTACATACGTACGCACTACTGCCACTCGAAGATCCCCCTGAAGAAACCCCTGCCAAGCGGTTAAGTCGGACTCAACACATTGCAGATGCCGCATGTTGCACATGTGTTGAGTGCATGCAACGTGCAGCATAAACTACATGGCACATACAGCATCTTGCAATCGGGGTACATGGTCATGCGCAAATCGCCGGGCGGCGTTTATTGAATTAAGACTGTCGACGACTGTTTGCAGTTGGCAGTTGTCGCACCCAGTGGAAGCGTTAAAAGTCACAAGGACACTGCAACCGGGAATGGAATGGGATTCAGAATGGGATCGTCGGGTATACGTATACACACATGGATCGTTTGCCCCTGGGCTATCGTTCTCAAAATGCAACATTGTGGCGCCGCCGAGAGGCGAGGGCTCATAAAACGGGTAACGTGGTCGCGCTGCACTTGGAATCGGTTATGCGTGATTTTTACAGAATCCACTCAGTCAGTCGGGGACGGGGAAGTATCTGTGGCATCTGGCATTTGCATATTGCGCGGGAAGTCACGTTAAAGTTGCCACCATTTAGCTGCAATGCAGTTATGATTGCCTCCCTTGAAGTCCCTTGTCTGGTGTTCAACTAACACCCCAGTTATAAAGATAAAGTTTCCTGGAAACAAGAAATCCCTTCTTAAAAAAATGTTTACGTCTTCTTATGGTACCATCAAAACAGTTTATAAATATAACCATAATTGTTAATAAGATTTAAAACTCTCCTTATTTTATATGGGTTATAACTATTGCAACATTTTACCGACTTCTTGAAACAGTGATATTGTCAGGAAAGTACTATTTTTAATAACGAAATGTTTATCTTGGTAATATTTTCATATTTCGATTAAGCAAAGTTGGATTATCACTTTAAATCTGGTTCTTAAAAACACTACCCACTTCTTCTTTACAAAACTGGAATTTTATTCTCTATTATCCTTATTTCAATATCAGTTATCCTGCGTAACCTGCATAATAGAGCGTGTTTAACGTAAATTATATACCGCTTAACGCAACAATAGACAGGGTCTGGGTCACAGGGCTTTAGATCCCACTTGGCTGGGAGTCGCTTTCACAAATTAAGCCCCAAATTCTGGCATGTAACTACTTTACCTCTGTCTGAATGGGCAATCATCAATCGAGCAGAAACAATGAATGGTTGGTTGCCACACACCCTTGGATCCCAAAAGTCCCTTGCCTTATTCCGTTTTCGGTCCTACTAGCTACAAGTATTTCCGTTTTGTGTATTTATAATGCCCTTTAGCCGTATTGTAGAAAGGCATTTTGTTCTCGTGCAAAAGTATGAAAAACAGAAAAGAAAGAGATTTCCTTTTCCTTTTTTTTTCGAAATGCCTAAGGTATATCAAGTGGAATGTGACAAAAAATGAATATTTTTAAACAAAAAATTTCCACTCGGTGTCAACATATTTAGTATGTGATGTTATTGTTATAATTTACCTCCATACCAAAAATGGTACAAATTGGAATATTTCTAATATATCATGTTCTATAAGGCATACCTAACCTGTAAGTATGCAGCATAATTTTTTAACAGGGTAGCATCTCATAGCAATATTTTTTCTTCTTTTTTCTGTTGCCAAACGCAGGTCAACAAAGTTTTTATTAAGCTGCGTTGGGTAGAAAAACTAATGGTGGGTGGGTGTTTATAGAGAGGATCCAGTGGCAAGGACAAATAAATAAAATACACACAAAAAAAAAGTGGGAGTAGGAGGTCCTGGGAGGCAGAGAGATACGGATACAAAGGAAAAAGGAAACCAAAGCGATGTTTTGTCAGGGGGTTAGTTAAAAGGGGGGTGATGAAGTGGGGGATAATTAACATTTATGAGGGGGCGCTAGAGCGAGACGGCAAGCTCTGCGAGCGAAATAACTGTAACTGTTGCTGATTGATCAAGAGTGGGGGTGTGTGTGTGTGTGTGAGTGTCTGGCTGAGGCACAAACAAAAACCATATGTTTCTCGTTTCGACTCCCGCACGCACTCACTCACACACTCAATTACTCACTCACCGCCCACCGCCCCCCTCTCTCACACACTCTTGCTTTCGTTGTGAGTGAAAACTCAATGATAACGCCTGCGCACTCTCTTTCTCTCTCTCACCGCCTGCCTGGCAAAGTGTGTGTGCGATATTCTGTTACACAAAAAGGCAAAAACAAAAGGCACCGTTAGAAGGTGTTCGAGTATGAGTGAGTTCACCACGAAACAAAAATCCTCACCGCATCTGTGTGTGTGTGTGTGACTGCGAGAGAGCCTGTGCCTCTGCGTATCTGTGTGTGCGGGCGTATCTGTGTGTGCGTACTTGGCGTTACGACGTCAACGACGGCATATCCGTCAGTACGTTTGTACGCGTCCGCAGCGCCGCTTCTTCAGTTTTTCGGTTTTCGGGATTTCGATTTCGGCAAAAGCAGAAGCACAAGCTGAAGCACCAGCGCACTAGCTACAGCAAAAGCAATAGCAGTTCTTCAGATCCGTTTGCGAGTTCGATATTTTCATTCCGAGCCAACGATCCAAC